AATAATAGTCTCCGTGTCTAAGATATTTGAAATATAATAGGAAATTAGATTCTAAAATTTTTTCATCTTTCGCTAAGTTTTTTAATGAACGAATTTATTTGATTAGTATTTTCTTTACTGATTTTCTTTTGTATTCTTCGAATATCGATTATAGTTTTTAAGTCTATGATAACTTGCGATATCAATAAAATTCTCTTATTGAATATATATATATTCGTATGTATATAGATATCGCATTAATGAGACTTAGTGAGTAATTTATATTCTTGTTTATAAAAATTTGATAGTGTTACATAGATTTATCAAATAACGATTCCAAAAAATGATTTATAGATACACTTATATATATATATAAATAAATATAATTTTATAGAAAGAATGATGATCATCAAAAACACAAATAAAATTAACTAAACGAAAAAAGAAATATTATTTTTCTTTTCTTTTTTTTAACAATGAGATTCAATATTATATGATCTCTGTATTATAATTAATAAAATTAATATAAATTAAAACTGCAATAAAAACGTTTTCTTTTTAAAATAAAATTAATATTATCTTGTTGAATTTATCCAACGCTAAATAATAGAAAAAGAAAAGAAAATAAATTAAAATAAATATCATTTAAATAATTTACCGATTGACGAAGTTTTTCATGGTCTATAATTAATGATTTTTCATCATCGGTATAACAAAGAACAGCACAAATAACTTTTGCCATAGTCTAAGAAAATGATTTATTTTTTCATTAGATTATGAAATTAATTCAACATACTAATCGATCAGTTCCTGTCATATAAGCAAGTACAATTTGTTTTAAATAATCAACTTCAGTTGGTTCAAATACAAATGAATGTTGACCATCATTTGAATGATGCATATATATTTCTAAATAAAACATGTAGAAGAAAATAATATTATTTTTAATATTCTACCATCCATTGAAGTTTGAGAAGAATGTTCAGTTGTTCTATAAAACATTAATCATTTGATTTTTTTTTCTTTTCTCATTTGAATTAATTTTCTAACAACTTACGGGACAATTTGTTTGGTGAGCTTTTGAATTTGATTTTGTAGGTCTTGTATATTTTGATGATAATCTAATTGTTTTTCCTATAAAAACATAGTTATTTATTTTAATTAGATCAACAAAAAAAAAAAAAAAAACAAACTTTTAATTGTTCTTGCATTTTTGATACTTGTTCTTCAGCAAGACATGCTCGATGTTCAGCATTACTTGCTCTTTTCTCAGAATTAGTAATAAGATCATTTTCAGCTTTATTATTCTTTTCTGGTAATAAAGAAGAGAAAAAAAGATAATCAAATGAAAAAGATCTTTGTTTTGGTTCTGAACTTACGAACAAGATCATTAAGTTGTAGATTATAATTATATTCATTTTCTTCGATTTTGTTACTCATTTCTTTGGCCATAGCTTTTAATTTTGTATTGTATTCTATTTCTTGTTCTTTTAATCGTTGTTCATATTCTTCATTTATCTTTTGTAATTGTACTTACAAATTATAAAAGAAAAAATATTGATTTTTTTAAATAAATAAACAATCAAGAATTATACCTGTATCATTAGAATTTGTTTGTTCCTTATTACTTATCGATTCCTTTGTTTTTTGTAATGCTTTACGTAATTTAGTTGCACTTTCTTGTGTTTGTTTAAGTGTTAATTCAATTTCTTGAATTTTTTCATCACGTTCTATTATTAGTCGATCTTTTTCATTAATATCTTGTTCAAAATTAAATTTTTCACTTTCATATTCATCTATTCGACGAATATTTTCTTCATTAATATTTATTAAAGATTTTATTTCATTTTTTAATGTTTCGATTTCATTCTGATAAGAATCACGTTCAGTCTATAAAGAAAAGATTTATCAATAATGTCTACAATCATAACTATATAGAATGTTAATCGAATATAAGGTTTTACAAGAAAAATGGTCCATCAAATACAAGAGATGTGCAAGAGGCCTAGAAACTAAGTGCAGAGCTGTGCAATCACTACGCCTAATGATAGATGGAAATTTTATTTTTACAATTTCTTCCTAATATTGATGGAACTATAATATTTCTTAAGAAATAGTGTTTCATTTCGGAACACACATGTATGAATAGTAATATAAAGTTGAAAACACTACGAATACGTCTAGGATGTGGACACTGTTCATTTTTCACCCACATTCTATATTTTAATTTATTCGAACGATAATTCTAATAGCTGATGAAAGACCCAAAAAGAAAAAAAACAACAATAAGCAATAATAAAAATGTATATGCATTGGTTCATCTTATTTATTTTTTTGTTTCTGCTTTATCCTATGTTATATGGCATGAAGCCAGACAGTATGAGAAAAAGCTTTCTATGCATTTATTTTATGCTAATTATTAATTTTGTTTTATTCATAATCGTAAATTTCAAATACTGACTTAACTTTTAAACATCTCTCTTCGATACATACTAATCTCGATGAAGGTTAAGGTCGAAACTCTTAGATTGTTCAGTGAGTTTCAAGTAGAATAAACGCGTTTTGAAATTTAAAAAAAAAACTCAATGTAGTAAAAAGTTCATATCTACGTAAAATTTCACGTCATTCAATTTTATAATATGTTACAATTCTAGTTAAACAACTTGACAATAGCAGTCTATCAGTTTACATCTAATTGAAATTTATTTGTAGCAAAAAGATAACATTTTAATTGAAAAGCTTTTTTTATAAACAAACCTCTAATTCTCTAATTTGTTGTTCAGTTTGTTGAAGTTTAACATTATTTTCATTCAATGTCGATTCCATTGTTTGAATTTGTATACGAATACGATCTAATTCATTTTCAAGATTAGTTTTTTCAGAAAGACTATTATTTAATTTAATTTCTAATTGAGAATATGTTTCATTTTGTTCTTGTTGAAGTTTATGATTAAGATGTTCTTGTTCATCTAATTTTATTTTATATGTTGATAATTGTTCATTTTTTTCATTAAGTTCAAAATTTTGACTGGTTAATTTTTGATGAAGATTATTAATTTCTTCTTGTTTTTCATTAATTGCTGATTTCTCTTTATTAAATTCACATTTAAGTTCTTCAATTGTTTGTTCATGTTCTTTCTGTAATTTTTCAATTTGTGATTGATAATCTTGTTTGAGAGTATTAGTCTGTCAAATAGAAATAAATACATGAATAAACAACGAAAGCCTACTGAGACTTATGTAAATATCTCAATTTATTTATGAATAATAGATAATACATCATACTTTTAGTTACCGTTGCGTTAACAGTTATCGAGTAACGGACAACGGAAACTAAAAAATTAAGAGCTTATCCAGAATAGGGTATTTTCAAAATTAATGCTACTTTACTATAATGTTTGATTAAAGCTTGTCAGCATCAGAGAATCCATGTTCACATCGCATATCTTTAACCTGTCAGTTTTCAGGAAGGTTTTCTTCAATTTTGTCTGGAGAAAATCCTTGCCGAAATCTGATTGGTTGGAGCGAAAAAGTTCCTAGCCAGTCAGGTTTCTGTGGGTGATTTTTTCACTATTGTAAGGACAAAACATGACGCTGTTTGGATCGTATGAGGGAGGCAGCATCAGCATGTCAATATTATGTTTTGTCCTTAGAATAGAGATGAAAACCCTTGTTAAAATCTGAATGAGAACTTTTCTCAGACAATTATAAATCAGCACAGCAACGCGTTTGCAAATCAGATCTTATTATGGCGTTCTTGAAGTTCTCCAAAGATAATATTATACTGAATCTTCTTTGGCTAAGAGATTATCCCCTACTAGAACTTAATTAGTTGAAGAAGAAACGTCATGCGACGAGGATTTCTCGACTCGAAGAATTTTCAGTGACTAATTTTTCTAAAACTGCTTATTTTTGAGAAATAATCATAGTTACAAATGTTGTTCTACTCGTTACCTGTTAACGTATTGATAACTTCCCTCTTTCTCCCTTGCTCGATTCTATCTTTATCTCTTTTATTTAATGTTGACATTTAAAATAAAATCTCAAAAACTAAGAAAGTACCATTTTATCTTTCTCTTCTAATAATTGTCGATCATTAATTTGAGATGTTTGAATAGTTTGTTGCAATTGTTCATGTTCTTGAATAGTTGATTTTAAGTCATCAATAGTAGTATTAAGTTTACTGATATCATATTGTTTGTCTTCAAGTTGTTTTTCAATATTTTTTATATGTACAATTTTCTCATCAAGTTCATTTCGTAATTGTTTTGTTGTGACATGAAATTTTTCTTGTAATATTGTTAATTCTTCATTTTTTTGCGTATTAGATGCAAGTGTTTGTTGGTATTGTTCTTTTAATAAATTATATTCATCGTTGAGTTCTTTTTGAGATAGTTTTGATTGAGATTTTAATTTTTCTAATTCATTATCAATTTGGATAATATGAGAAGATTTTTCTTTTAATTCTTCTTCGTATTGATGAGATTTATTTTTTTGTTCATTTAATAATATTTGAAAATGATTAATTTCTTCTTGACGTTCATCAATTTGTTTCGATAAATCATTCATTTTATCTTGTGCTCTTTTAGCTGCAGCTTTAAGTTCATCTTCAACTGTAGATAATTGTTCTTTTCGTGTATTTTCAAATTCACTTTTTAATATTTCGATTGTTTTCTTATGTTGACTTTCAATTTCTTCTATTTGACTATTAAGACGATTTTTTTCTTCACATAATTCTTTTAAATTACTATCAAATTTAGTTTGTTGTTGACTCACAAGATTCGCAAGTTCTTCTGAATGTTCTTGACGTAGAGTATCAAGTGCTTGTGTTAATTGCGTACATTTAGCTAAAGTTTCATTATAATCATGTTGTAATTCAGTAAGACTAACTTTTGTTTCATTAGTATCATCATCTAATAAAAAGAAAAAAGTGAGATGAAGTGAAATCTTTCCAAAATCTAAAGTCGAAAGAAGTCTACGTATACTATCGTTCAATTTCATAGTTTTTGAAGAATTTATCTTTACAGTAGAAATATATAGGACCAAACAAAGACAGTTAAATTTGTCGTATTTTTCACGAGGAAATCTTTCCAGTTGATAAAAATTTTTTGAAATGAGACTATGCAAAAAATAATATATGAACCTTATTATACACTGAACGTATCAGCTTGAACGAATGACTTCTTCTTGAGATAACGTTTTCTCAACGAATGCACATATTTTAGAAATGATTCACAAAAATCTGATTTTCTTGTAAATCGATTATCTCACAAAGAAAAGATTTGTTCAAGCTGAAACTTTTGATGTATGACAAGATTCATAAGATTTGTTTATTGGCAGTCCGATTTAGTTTTTAAAAATATTCTTTGCATTTGTCGTATTTATAAATGGAAAATGAGTGTAGTGAAAAATATTTGTCTTTGTTGTGTCACGCCATTAATACTAGTTTTTCAATAATAATTCGACACAACAAAGGTTTATGCGGCTGACGTTTTCAGAGTATCTAAAATAATTCAACGTACATTTGTTACATACAAATTAGCTAAGAAAAATTTCAGAGACAAAAAATATATGAATTTTTATTTTGAGAAATCACCTCGCAAACGAATAATGATATACAGAATAAGCTTTTTTTCGTATCCTAACGAAGAAAAATTTTCTTATTCTAAACTCAGATATCTTAGATTAGGATAGACTCAAGAATGTATTTCTCGTACCATTAGATTGATAGATGTACGCAGTGCATTGAAATTCCTGTACAAAAATCAAAATTTCCACCTCTTTCGGAGGCAAATAGTAGCATTTTCGTATTGAAACAGGCTTGGAAAACGTTCGTGAAGCAACATTAAATTTTGCATGACTAAATGCTAGCCCCTACAGTGTCAACGACTTGAAGTAATACTCTCTCGATATAAGTAAAGAAGAACCATACAAGAAGTTCGAGTTTGATGAACTACAAGATATTGAAAGTTTTCTTTGCCTTTAGTGCCTAGGAAACATTTTCAACAAAATGCGCAAACCTATAATGTAATTCCTTTTTTTGTGAACACTGGTGCTTCAGTATTAATTCTGAAGTTCAGTAAAATATAATCGAATACTCTTCTTTCTAAAGTCAAAATTAAATGAAAACAAATGTTGACGTGTTTCTTTAAATGCATATATTTTTGATACCAGTTGCAATTTTTTCTCTGACCTATATCAACTTTATACAGATGAATGGCACAAATATATTAGTCTTCCCTATTCCTTACTTCTCGATAAGGACCTCATAAAGTTTGCCGAGTTTATCCTAGATTCAAAGCGTTCTGCCGCCTATGATCCTATCCTGTAGAACATCTACTCTTGCCCTATTCTACAAAGTTTTTATCTCATTCTTCCTTAATTCTACCATAGTTACAAGATTCTATCAGTGATAAATAGTAAAATAATATCATGGTACAGAGATATATAAATATTAACCTGTATGTTCAAGTTGTTGTATTGATTGATATTTATCTTTATATATTGTTCGTTCTTGAGTAGTTTCATCAAGTAATGATTGAATATTATCTTTTGCTTGTTTTGTTTGATGTAATTCATTTGTTAAATTTTCATATTCTGTTTTAAGAGTATCAAAAGATTTTAAATGTTGTTCATTTTCTTTTGATAGATTATCTTTAAGTATTTCAATTTCATTATTAAGTTGTTCAATTTGTTGTTTATCTTTAAGAATTTCTTCTTGATAATTTTTCATAAGATTTTGAAATTCTTTATTTGATGTTTCAAGATTTAATTTATCATTTATTAATTTTTCTAATTCTATTGTTTTTTCATCAAATTTTGTTAATAAATCTTCATATTTTTGTTTAAATTCATCTTGTTGATGTTTTATTTCATCATTGAAATCAGTTTTAATATTTTGTTGTTTTCTTGCTAATTCAAGATCAATTTCAAGTTGTCGAATACAAAGACGTGTTGATTCTAATTCCTCTTGTAATCGTTCTTTATCATGTAAAAGAACAGTTATATCTGAATTAAAATGTTCTTTAACTTCAAGTGATGCTGCTGATGTTTCTTCTGAATTGCGATCCTATGATTAAAAAAAACACATACTCTTTTTCATTTTTTTTATTAGTAAAAAAAAAATCTTCAATTCCTATCACTAGACTCTATATAAAAACATTACGTTTACTTTCACATAAAAAAATACAAGACATAAAACATCTACAAAATACATGCGGGATGCATGAGTATTTTTTATCGGCTAGTTTTAGTTTGAATTTCACTCACCAAAAAATGTTTTACAAAATGTTTTAAAGTGAAATGACCTTCTACTTTTGAATTTGCCTGTAAATATATATATATATTAGGAGTATATATGTTCTCATCTTTTATTTACTTTTATTATTATATTTTTCTTTTTTTATATAATAAAATGAATTGAGAAATCGAAGAAAAAAACAAACAAACATACTTTCATCATTGATTCAATAAATTGTTGTTTTTCATTTAATTTTTGTATGAGATCATCACGTTCAGTAACTAAATCAACTTGTTTTTCTTGATGAGCTTTTATTGCTTCTTTACATCGAGTAAGTAATGTT